CCACCTTTCAGTAAAAAGAGTCGGTTTCTTTTAATAGCTGGAAAACAATGCTATATTTGCATGTCTATTACTGTGTAATGCATGTCTTAAGCTGATGTCTTCAAGGGACTCACATCGCATGTGTTGTCTTGTAGGTCAATGGAGCAGAAGGAGAGATCGAATATGAAGAGATCACGTTGGAAAGGGTAAATCTTACAAACAAGTACAGTGCTGTATTTTTTAACATAGGTCTTTCTATGTATGGCTGGGTGCCTTTTCCAGTTTGACAAGGTATTTTTTATATTTTTAATATGAAGTACTATTTTGTAAGAGTGAGATTTTACATAACCTTTGTGAAAAAAGAAGTATGCTTAATTATATTGAATGTGTACCTCAAATCTTATAAGTATATTTGGTAACACTTTATTTTAAGGTGTCCTTGTTATACATTACATGTGCTTACTATTATAACAACAATTAATTATACATAATTACATGCAAGTAACCCTAAGCCAAATCCTAACCATATAGTAAATATATGTAGTTAATTAATATTACTCAGTACTTAAATGTACATTACACTGTAACAAGGACACCTTAAAATAAAGTGTAACCGTATATTTTTTACAAAACTGTATTTGCAAATGATATAATCTGAATTAAATATGGCCACTAACTTAAAGAGACCCTTTGATGGCTGTTTCTTAGTAGACCTTCAAAAAGTGCTCTTCGTAATGTTGTCAAATTAAAAGGTTTACTTTAAAGTACATTTTAAATCATTATGTTTTAATAATCTTTTGTTGATTATCAAGGAAGCATATTTATTTTGATGTATTGACTAACATACTTAAGTACTTGATTATTTTATTATAAGGTAATTTAACTTTAGTGTGCTATTCAGAATGACATTTAAATATATTTTAAAGGGGTCATATGATGCGATTTCAATTGTTACAAGCTCTTGGTGCATAAAGAAGATCTGTAAAGTTGCAAAGACTAAAGTCTCAAATCCAAAGAGATATTCTTTATAAAAGTTAAGAGTTAACCACGCCTACCTAAAACGCCTCGTTCTAACACGCACGCACATACCTACGTCACTATCTGGGAAGATTTGCATAACGCCGCCCAAATATTCACGCAAAGAAAGAAGGCGTAACTTAAAAATATTTGGCTGCACAACTGTTGATAATTCTAATAATAAATCAGCATATTAGAATGATTTTTTAATATAAACTTTAATACAGTTTCATTTAAGTGTCTGAAAACATTAGATTCAGGTCACACTTAACTATATATTTCTGTATATAATTATTAAGTATATTAAGCATATTATTTCAGTACTATTCTTTTTCACAATGGATTCTATCAATAAATGACATGTTTCAGTGTTAATAAATTGCATTTGACATCTAAAGCGAAATTAATGCATGTGAATATATGTTGGCACCCATAGCAGAGCTTCAGTTTATGTGAATGAGAGACTGTCATTCTGTTGAACGAGCTGGACGTGTGTGTGTGTGTGTGTGTGTGTGTCTAGGGGAACTCTGGGCTAGGCTTCAGTATCGCCGGAGGGACTGATAACCCTCATGTCGGAGACGACCCCAGCATCTTCATCACCAAGATCATTCCAGGAGGAGCCGCCGCACAAGACGGGAGACTCAGGTAACACACAGTCTGCATGTGGATTGAATATACAGTGACCCCAAAAAGTATTTAGGAGCTTAAGTGATGTTTACAAATGTATGAATGTCATTGCATTAGGGAAACATTGATTTATCATATTAGAAAACCTTTTTGTGAAATATAACTTTCTTTGAAATTAATGCCACTTATCTAACACAATGGCATTCATATGTGACCCTGGACCACAAAACCAGTCATAAGGGTCAATTTCTCAAAATTGAGATTCATATATATCCTGAAAGCTGAATAAATAAGCTTTCCATTGATGTATGGTTTGTTAGGATAGGACAATATTTGGCTGAGATACAACTATTTGAAAATCTGGAATCTGAGGGTGCAAAAAAA